CTTTGAGCACCTCTTGTAATTGCAGAAGTCAAACGTGACTTGTATTCATCTTTTGTTATTGGTATATATTGACTCTTACAATTTTAATACGGTTTTCCTTTCTTAAAATGTGTATACATTTTTTTGGCACCCTCTGTATATATGGTCCCTCCCCTAGTATGAGAGAGGAGTCATATATACAAATGATTGTAATACAAAGTGGAGTGTGTTACATGCCAGAAAGTACGATGGCAGTTCAAAAAATGACAATCCAAGAAGCCTCATGAGGAATGAGATAAATGGAGAGATTATTTTAGGTATAAAAGAGGCATGTGCAGATTTGCAAAGGCATGGAGCACAGGGCATGGCTCAATCAATACCAAATCGTTTACAATGGCCAGTGAACATCATAAGTCAGGGACAGTATTCTGGGGCCCGTGGTGACAAATCTTGTATCGGCACTACAAAATTTAGAATTTACACTGTCAACTCTAGGCAGGTAGGAGCAATCAAATATTTATGTGACACGAGATCTTTGCTTTCAAAAAACAGAGCTGACAGTAATGTGCTAGGCTTCTACCAGTCATTTTGCAAACATCTTATTTCATCCTTGCAATTGAGCCCTGAGTTGGGTCACATTGGCATCCCCGTTTATGGATGAGGAACAGAGGCTTAGCAAAGCCAGTTGCTCAAGGGTCTAGCAGAAGTAGCGTCCAACCCTGCAGGATCTGCCTCACGCCGGAGCCGATACTATTATCACTGCTGAGCTGATGATTCTGGCACGAACTGAAGGGAGGCGACGCGGGAGGTGGGTTAGAGACAGGAAGGGTTACCTGTTCTGTGCCTGTCATCCGGTAAGGGACACAGACAGCTCCTTCATTGCTTTGTCTAATCTATTACAAATGAATCACATAACAAATTTCTTCTGTGCTGTTCATTATGCACAGTATAAAGCCTCCATCTGTGCATACTTTTTGTTAACAAGCTCTTCTCTTTTTTTCAGTTCTTTGGGACCAAGTGCACTGAAGATGATAGAGACCGCAACATCGGTGAAACGGAAAGAGTCTTCCCATAGCTCAGCTCAACCAAAAGAAAAGAAGAAAAAGAAGTCTGCACTCGATGAAATCATGGAGGTACAGTGTATGAGCTGCCTGTCAACTCTTTAGTGTTAGAGGAATGATGCAATTTAAACCAGGGAAACTGAAATAGTTTCACCATTATTAGATTCATGTGAAGTTAAAAAAACGTGCAAATACTAGGTGAGGGAAAAGGAGCCGAGGTGCACTTCCATCTGCATGAGTCAGAACCCCCCACTGAGGTTTAGTTTCTTGCCCCAAGTGCTGTCTGCAGAGCTCTCTGTGCAGCTGTGGGCAGTAGAGATCAGTGAGAAGGACTTCGGGGGTAACGGAAGCTGGAAATGAAAGCTCTGCTCCCCCTCTGTGGTTCTGTGAAAGTGGCACCCTCCATGGGCCCCTTCCCCCCCACCCCAATATGTGCTCTCCTCTTGTCTGACTTTTACTTACTGCCTCCTAGCCTGCAGGAGAAGGCGGTGACATAGCTTTAATTTGAAATAACCTCATGGCTAAGTTTATGTGACCAATCATTGAAAACTTGTGATTATCTGGATCTGGGGCCACACTTTCTACCTGGAACTCAGAGCTGTTCTGCAGAATGTTCTTAGGATACCCCCTAAATATTCCTTCCTGCCTCCCAGCACATGACCTTACCTTACCAGTAAATTTATGAGATAAGTGCAAGAGAAGAAGCAGGCGAGGCAAAGAGAAGGGACAAATGGGCCCCAGGAGCAGCGTCTTCTTCCTGCAGTGTCACTTCCTCTAGCCTCCCCATCGCCTTTCTTCCTCTGTGAAGGGGTGGAGCTTGTTCGGTCTTCCCTGTTTCTGAGTTCACACCATGCGGGACAGTCTACAAAGCGTAAAGGGTAATATGTGTACACTGTGAGATGTGGTCGTTCCATCGTTCAACAAATACCGAGTCGCTGTTATGGGCTAGGCATTGTGCGAGGTCCTAGGCCTGTAGAGTAGGGAGAAAAACACAGTCCCTGTGTGTCACGGAGCTTTGATTCTAGTGAGGCTGACGTTCTGTGAACAAGTGAACAGTAAGTAGGTAATGACAAAATGCCAAGTGCCAAGGAGGTTGAGGGCAGGGACTGGGGAGACGGCTTGTGAAAAGGCTCTAAGGCAGCAAAGGTCTCTAACTCAAGCATGTGATGGAAAGAGCCATGTGGCTGGATGAGCATGGTGAGCACAAGAATGTCATCACAGGCCACGACAGGACTTTTTACATTTAGTTCAAAGGCCAATGGAAAGCCAGGCCTACCTGCTTTGAATATAATCCGTGCTAAATTTAGAATAGTCTTTATTCATATTGGAAAATTGGAGGAATAAAAATGAGGTTTAGAATCAACCGAAGAATCACACTGTTCCGTCCCCTTGAAAGTTGTACTTTGGGTTCTAACTCTAAGCAGTTGAGAAAGAAGATGGCGTGAGGTAGATCCACAGTGGCCAGCCCGCTCTCCCTTCATTTGGTCACACTTTTAGTTACGTCTCTGCTGGTTGTATGTTTCTTCCCCTCTGTTCACAAGCTGGATTACCCTTATGCAGCAGGAAAGCCTCTTTTTGCCATCAGAGCATCCCTAACCATGCTGTGCTAAGTTGCTCTGTAAGTGTTGTGTTTTTACCACATGAAAACACCACCTGTTTTCCAGCTTGTGACGATCACATGGGAGGAGGCAGGGAGAGGGCAGTGCTGAACTGTCAGGTGGCCTTGCCCAAGTAGAGGTTGTTTGTGGTTATTTTCTTGGTCAATTGACTTGTTTTATCACTTTTTTTTTCTTCAATCCAAGTTTTGTGTTTTCAATCAAAGACTAATTGCAAAAAAAAGTGTTTATTTGTATTTATCAGAGCATACAAATTATATCGCTGATCTTCTGTGAATTGTGTGTTTTATGTTGTTCTTTTGCTAAATAGCATGTTGCTTGAAATGAATTGAGGATTTTAAAGAGATGGTTTTATGTCTCGTGTGTTCTACAGATTGAAGAGGGAAAGAAAAGGGCTTCCCGAACTGACTACTGGCTGCAGCCCGTACGTATTCAGTAGAAGCTCCTTAAGTTCTAAATGTACTTCCAAGTGAATGATTTCAATAGCATTTGGGATAAATGACTAAATTTCTCAACTATGTATAACTTCGATAGATAGACCTATAACTTCAATGAGTTTTTTTCTCTGTGATCTTTAATTATTGGTTGCATCTGTATCAGAGGGTGACTTCATGTTTATGGGCTGGTAATATTCCTTGATTTTAATGCCAAACTTGTTTATGGNCGCTTTGGTGAGCATCTTAAGTATTGTGCACATAATAACTTCCTAACCTTATAACCTGCTCAGGGTCAACAGTGTCCTGTTTTGTTCTTAGGCACGAAAAGAGTTCACAACAATATTGTTTACAATGAGTACATCAGCCACCGAGAGCACATCCACATGAATGCCACTCAGTGGGAGACGCTGACAGATTTCACCAAGTGGTTGGGCAGAGAAGGTAAGGATAGACATACCTGAAGAGCTGTGATGTGGCTCCACGACAGGGGACAAAGAGCTGTCAGCTTCTGTGTAAATTTACGAAAAAGAGGATGGGTAGGGCGATTAAAAACTGGGGAGAGGAACTTAGTAGCACAGGGTTGATTTTGTGTACTCCTGTGAAGTATGAATGTCTGGAATAGTTCTTTTGACAGTGCCAAGATTTATCAGTAATCATCCTCTCATTTAGGTTAGGGATTAGTATCACTCGTCTTCTATTCCCCCCCATATTCATTTCACTTTAGGAAACTTGTTACCCTCTCTTAACAAGATTTTTAAAATTTATGGCTTCTTTCCTCATTTTTAAACTTCATAGGATGAAAAATTGGGGAGAAGAAAAGAGAAGGAAATTTTGTGTCCATGTATTACTTTATTCAGTGTGTTACTCTATTTCATTTTTGTGGAATAATTTCTACTTAGTTAAGTTAGCAGAATATCATGTGCTCATTGGATGTTAAATACTTAGACACAGCTGAATAGTTACTAAACAAGATAATACTTCTGTCACTTGTTTTTCTTTTTTAAATATGTTGCCTCAACCTAGCTCATTAAAAATCAGAATGATAACTTTTTTCTGTTCAAAGAGATAGAATATTCCACTTAAAGTATCTAAATCTCATTATGAATATGGAAAATTCATGTACTGGGTGAAGGTATATATTTGAATGAATGAGTAAATAATGCCTAGATTAGCGCACATTTATATTTACCTTTAGCTTTGACTGTGTGCAAATTTGTGGTGTCTTTGTTGTTGTTGTTGTTGTTGTTGTTTTTTAAGGCTTGTGCAAAGTGGATGAGACACCAAAGGGCTGGTATATTCAGTACATAGACAGGGACCCAGAAACCATCCGCCGGCAGCTGGAACTGGAGAAAAAGAAGAAGCAGGACCTTGATGACGAAGAAAAAACTGCCAAATTTATTGAAGAGCAAGTGAGAAGAGGTCTGGAAGGCAAAGAACAGGTGGGCAGCGATATCACTGAGAGAGACAACTGAAAAATGGCTAAAGCAGCGCAAGTGCTTGTTTTTGTAAGCCCAGAATTGCATTTTGTAGGCCTAGTGCTGTAACTAGGAGGAGAAAAGAAAATGGCTGAGTGTAAAAGCTCGGGTTTTGGAGTTGAGACAAACCTGGGTCCCTTCCTGACTTACGAACTTTGCTTTTACACAATGCTCTTGTGTAATTATATCACCTTCTAAAGCTCAGCTTCCTTCTCCTGAAAAGAGGCAGTCCTTAATGGGGAAGAAATGAATAGACCATTTGTCCTGACTGTGATGAGTGCTGTGTTGGAGGTTGGCAGTCGGCGGGCAGGTAGAGGGCCGGCACTGGCTGCAGCCTGGGGAGGATGCAGAGTGTCTGGAGGTCGGGACAGCCCCCTGGCTGAGGAGTTCTGGAGAATTAATGGGCAAAACCTGGGTAAATGGGGAAGGGAGGGCNTAACATAATTTTGAGCATGGCTTAATGGAGTACTTGTGACTATCTGTACCTACTAAAGTTGCTCAAAGTAGCAAATGTAGAATGACTGTAGTGAGTATAGCAGCAAGTGAGGCGATGTCATTTTTATTATCAGCCATTACACAGCTAACTCAAATCAGGAAAACGAGAAAGAAGCACATCAGAATGCATTATTATGAAATAAGCCCTGCTTTCTCTCCCATTCCAGAATTAGTTGCTCAAAAGAGCGATACTTTTAGCTGGAGCTATTCTGGAGGAATCCTGCCTATAGCAAAAATTCAATGCAACCTAATGAGAAAAAAACACTGTGGACAGTGTCATGTCCTGGGACTTCTCTGGGAGACTCTTGCTGGCTGCGTTTTTATCAGCAGTGAACACCAACACTATAAAATCCTTGATACTTTTTACTTGCTTGAATGGACAGAAAAGAAGACGCTATCTATGAAAGACATGAATTAATAGAGTTGAGATTTATAAATAAAGGTCCTAGGTTTCAAGAAACTTTCACTTTGGAAATCTGCCATTAGATGTATATTTTTCCCCTTGGGATCCATGTTGAATAAAAAGAGAAAGAAAGAATGAAAGATTAGTAAGGAAATGCCATCTATGGGAAGGCTTAGAACTCCAAAATTTCTTATTTAGCAGAGCATTTATAATTTACAATTATTTTTGGTGAACATGGTTTAAAATGAAGGAGTAAACAGAAAAGGTAATCTATATCTTTCCTTTCATCTTTATTTTTTATTGTTATTTTCTAGGAAATCATCGTGAAAATTATAACCAAAAAACTTGGAGAGAAATATCATAAGAAAAAGGGCATTGTTAAGGTAAGAACATAGTTATGAATGGAATCTGTGAAAGGGGCTGATGTGTGACTGAGTAAAGCCATTTTGGTATGCCTTAAAAATCAAGTCCTGGTATGGAAAGCATATATCTAAGGTTCTTGATGGTTCCATAAAAGGAAAGCTGTATTCATAATTGTCAGAAAGATAGGTCATTTTCAGCCACTGTTTATACCTAACATTGGTCTGCTTTCTTACTGGAGCAAGTATTGGGTTGTCGGAAAAGTCATGATGCGTTTTTGCAATGGAAAACATAGAAAAATTTCATGACTTTTCCGACAACCCAATAGTATGTATGAAATCCCATTGGTACCTCTTAAACTAAGTGTGCACGCCTTGTTAACCAGTAAGACGCGTTCTCTTTATTGATGATGAGCGATACACGTATGTCCTCAGGGTTCCAAGGAGGACTTCTTTGTGTTTTGCCTGAGACTGCCTTTTTGGCCACTCTAGGATTTTAAAGTTTAAAAATTAACGCTCCAGTCTTTTTCTCCCTTTTGCTTTTCTTTGAGCGCCCAGCCTGTGCGTGCCTAAATTGCCCTTCTACTGTACCGGAAGCTGGGCAAAATTATCCCTCTCATTATAGTTCTTAAATATTCTAATATCATCAGCCTTTTATTCTGCCCCGATGAAAACCTTAACTAAGCTTTGAATTGAATTCTTTATTAAGCAATATAGATTGAGAAATCATATATGGAATCTAGAAAACAGTGTCATTTATAGAAGGAGTTACTCTTCTCTTTTGACTGGAATTTTGTTTGTTTTCGTATTATTGACTTCTGTCCTTTGAAATTTGTGTTCATGTATCTCTTCTATTTATAAAAGTGTTGATTTTACATGACAGGAAGTGATTGACAAATACACGGCTGTGGTAAAGATGATTGATTCTGGAGACAAGCTGAAACTTGACCAGACTCATTTAGAAACAGTAATTCCTGCACCAGGTAAATCTTTTTGCAGACCAATTAATGCAAATGCCAACAAAATGAGTGACTCCATGTGTTAAACTGTAGTTTTTTGAGATTACCTGATAGTTACAGATACGAGCTTCCTTTTTAGAAATAAGTAACTGCTAGTATAACTGATTCTATTTCATTTTGGATGACGTGGTAGTTTGCGAGTCCTCTGAGAAGCTATTGGTGGCATGAATAAATTTTCCCCTCCTAAAGTTATTATTTTTTTTCCAAAAGCAAAACACAGACCTGTCTGGATAAATCACCCACATTAGGGTTATTATTAATTATTTAGGTACCTGAGCTAGTAAAAGTCAGTATTATTTTGCTTTTTCTTTTCTTTAATTATCTTGATCGTTTGGGCACTAACACAATATCTAGTATTATAATACCGGGTTGTCAGAAAAGTCATGACGCATTTTTGCAACGAAAACCAGAAAAAATACGCCATGACTTTTCCGACAACCCAATACTTTGGTCAGCTCATTTTCCGACCCATCATTCTCTTCGTGGTGATATCATTGCTGGCACAGTGATAATGTTAGTCTCTAAAACTTTCACTTCTCAGATCTTTTATTCTTTTCCCTCTAAAACAGCGGTTCTCAACTTTTGGGCCGCGACCCTTTGGGGGTCGAATGACCCTTTCACAGGGGTTGCCTAAGACCATCAGAAAACAAAAAGATACTTACGTTACGATTCATAGCAGTAGCAAAATTACAGTTATAGAGTAGCAACGAAAATAATTTTATGGTTGGGGGTCACCACAACATGAGGAACTGTATTAAGGGGTCGCGGCATTAGNCTGAGCCATCCTGCCACCTGTTGGCATCTCAGCAGCAGCTCGGCTCAGGTACAGCGTCACTGGCCCATGTGGGAATCGAACCAGCGGCCCTGTTGCTCAGAGCTCACACTCTTCAGCTAACTCTTAACCAACTGAGCCACTCGGAAAGGCTCATTTTGATTAAAGGCTTCACATGGATAAACTGTTACTTCTCCATGAATCCTTCCGCAGTTGATGGTTCCTTCTATGCTACTGCAACACTTTATTTTTCTATCATAGCCCACTTAGCAAGTTAAATGTTAGCTGGGGTATATGTTTTTTGTTTTACCTGCTGTGTTAAAATTTTCTGAGACTAGAGACTAAGTTATTGACCTATCTCATCCATACTATCACCTAATACAGTATAAATCCACTAGTAGGCACTCAGTAATAATTGCCTTTCTTTCTAAATGGTGTAGTATAGGCAGGAGTCCACAAACTTTTTCTGTAAAGGGCCACATAGTAAATATCTTAGACGTTGTTGGCCATGTAATTCTTTGTCACAATCACTTAACAGCTGTCGGAGTGAGAAAGCAACCATAGGCAATATGTAAGTGAATGGACATGGCTGTGTTCCAGTAAAATCACATTTATAAAGACAGATCAGAGGCCCAATTTGGCCCTCAGGCTGTAGTTTGCGAACCCCTGGATTAGCATGTAGTCAGGTACTTCCATCCACTTCTCAGGTTCTCTTTTCTTCTAGTTCTTACATATTCTTTCACCAAATATTTACTCACTATTTGTGATGTGCAGTGCATTCAGTTTAGTTACAGAGATTAAAAAGCTAAATATAAAAGAAGACATCCAGGAAGGTACCAGTATATACTGGAATTTAGTTTTAAGCTGGATGATATTTTCTATTTTACTTAGCGTTTTACATGTTGTTTATTTAGGGCCTAACTCAGGGTGTTTCGTTTGTTTGATTTGATTTCTTGGTTAGTTTATAAGCTAGACTGAATAATTGGCTAGGAGAATGAAAGGAAATGGGCAGGCCCAGTCAGCAATTTATAACTGCTTCTGAATGACTTGCCAAATGTCTTAGCTTTGATCAAAACATTTTAGAATTAATACCTGTATTAGATATCATAAAGAAATTGGTCAGTTGGGTTCTATGTATGGTACATTTGACATTTCTTTTCAAAATATTCATATGATATGACCTGGAAGGCAGGCTTGAATATATCATATCACACATGTTAAGGGTTTTAGACCCTGATGTATTTATTGCTCTCCATTCTCCTTTATTATTCGTTATTCCTAAGTGTAGATGAATTTTAAGATTGGTCCCAGTGGCCCCCAAATTGATCACCCTTCTATTAGTTTTCTACAGCTGCTATAATTAATTCCCATAAATTAGGTGGCTTGAAATTGTGGCAACCTGTTGTGTCTCTGGAGGTCACAATTCTGAAATCGAGGTGTCTGCAAGGCTGTGCGCTTTCCAGAGGCTCGGAGGAGAATGGTTCTTCATCTCCTCCGGCTTCTGCTGGCTGCTGGCATTCCATGGCTTGTGGCTGCATCCCTCCAGTTGCAAGACCAGGGTCTTCTAATTTCTGTTTGCTGCATCGTCACATCATCTTCTCTGCNAATTCTCGTTTTAAACGGAGGCTACAGAGGAAATGAAGGTACCTTAGAATCCATCAATGAGAAGACCTTTTCAGCTACTATAGTCATTGAAACTGTAAGTGTGTTTACACAAAGACATTTCAAAGTGCTCTAAAAATGTGCCATAGCTCTTTTTTGTTGGATTGGTCTTTGTTTTATTTTAGAGTTTGGGTTTTTTGTTTGCCTTCTCTCCTACTTGGGCATCTGTAAGCTTATTTTCTCTAGTCACTACCATTGTTAGAGCATTTTATTTTCTGATTAAAAAGGAAATGCATATGTGTCTTAGTCTGTTTGGGCTGCTATAACAAAGGACCACAGACTGGGTGGTTTATAAACAATAGAAATATATTTCTCATAGTTCTGAGGGCTAGAAGTCCAAGATCAAGCGCTGGTAGATTTGGTGTCTCTTAAGGGCCTGCTTCCTGGTTCATGTGTCCTCACATGGTAGAACGGACAAGGGAACTCCCTGGGGTCCCTTTATAAAGGCACAAAGCCATTCATGAGGGCTTGCTCCCATGACCTTATCACCTCCCAAAGGCTTCACCTCCAAATACCATCACATTGGGCATCATGTTGCAACATATACATTTTGGGTGGGATACTTTCAGTCTATAGCAATACTCATTGTGTAAATACCATTTAATATACCAAATACCAAATAATTAATTAAAAATAAATAATTTAATATAAATAATTAATAATTACCCATAATCCCCCAGCCAAATGATAACCCACATTAATATTTTGGTCTGTTCCTTTCCAGTCTTTTATTTTATGAAATTGTATATAATATGTACAGTTTCACATCCTAACTTTTTTGCTCATATCTACTAATGTAAAACTCAATTTGGTATGGTATAATTAGTGGGGAATGTATAGTCATAATTAATGGGAGAAAAGCCAGAGATCAATTTTTTAAACATCCCCACTTCATTCATAAAGGATTAAGGGAGAAAGGATCAATAAAATAACTAATTTAAAGAAATCTGACATCAGAAATTGCCTATTGATTTAGACCTGCTAGTTCAGTGATTGGTCTGTACGTGAGGCCAAGGGGAACCTAAGACGTCTTCAGAAGGAAAGATCTGAAACGTGCTTCGTCCCCGTTGCCTAATTCTTTGTTAGGACTCTGAACTATGCATTATGTATGTATCTTTATCTCTAAATGAAAGACTTCTTCATCTCCGGTACAGTTAAGTGTTCGTATTTCGGAGAGTCTGATGAAAGTTCTGAACTCTCTCCAAAAAAATTGCACACAACTGCCAAATTTTACATCTTAAGGAGTTCCGAGGCCCCTAAACCCCTGCGTGGATTGGTTAGAGAATTGTGTCTCAGGAAGGTTTTCTGGAAAAAGCATTTGGGTTTTTACTTGAGAGATATCATATTTTAAGTAAATTTGGCATTTTTTTTTCCTGTCCCTGACAATACTAACTTATAAACTGTCACTAACATAAACTATAAGGGGAAAAAAGGATATTGAAAATTTTATCAGTGTGACTGAACAGACTGAGTTTTTTTAAAGTCAGTAAGTTTTTCTGTCTGAGTCCATCAGTGTAAGTCATGGAAAGTCTCCCATTTCCATGGAGAATTGGTCCTCCTCCACTTTGTAATGTCATAATACTACCCAGTTAAGATGCTGTCTCATGTTTTCATCTCAGGGAAACACAGAACAACTAATTACTACTGAGGGTATCTCTAAGTTCCATCCAGATACCTTTGGTTTACAGTTTGTATGATTGTCAAGAACTGTAAACCCCAGTTTCTTCTTTCTTTCTGATGCCTTAGTTGCTTATGGAGCTGTACTGAGATAGAACCTACAAGGAAATCTACATAAAAAACCTTTCTGGGGGCTGGCCGAGTGGCTCAGTTGGTTAAGAGCTCGCCCAAGAGTTTGAGCTCTGAGCAACAGCGGTTCAATGCCCGGCCTGAGCTGAGCTGCCAACAGGTGGCAGGATGGCTCAGCTAAAAAAAAAAAACAAAAAAAAACACCTTTCTGGTTGGCTTGCAAAGCAGCATGCACTTTTGGAACAGTAATCCCACCTGCAAAGTCTTAGGCTTCTTTTCATTTTTCTTTTGCTGCCTGCCTCCATATTAAAAAAAATCTGTGTTTTTTGTGCTTGTGTCTGTCTCTTATGTCCCATGTTTTCACCAAGACACTGCCATGAAACACAATGAACTTTTCGAGTGATTTCTCCTACTATTTTTTTTTAAAATTATCATTTCTGGCATCTTAAATTTAGTATAGTATCATGCTATTTGAAAATTTTACATTTATTAAGCAGATTTAAAAATCGTTAACAAATTGTTCAAAAACAGCCTTAGTTTTTTTTAGCTATTTGCCTAATTAATCCAAACGCCTGGCTCCCTTCTTATGCCCCAGCTTCGTATTCTTATCATAAAAGTGTAATTGACCGTAGACCTTTTCAACTTGATAATGTCAGATTCAACCTGGGTCACGCTTTATCTGGGAACTTATTTCCCTTAAATACAATCATTATGATCATATTAAAAAAGAATGGCATCTTAGAAAGCATCTTAAAGGGATGGCAGAGTCTCAGTAAAAAATGTTAAAATCTCAGTTCAGGGTTGGAGTCATTATCATCACTCTCATTTTCTGTTTTGCAAGGGAGAGGACCAACTTTTAAATTTTAACCAAAAGATTTAATAATGAGTTGAAAATTATTGAGCTCATACTCATATCATGTTCTGGGTATTGTTCTGAGCACTTTATATGTGTTGACTCATTTGTATATCCCAACAACCCAATAATATAGGTATTATTATTCCCCACTAGAGGACAATGGAGCACAGAGGGGCTTAGTCACTTGATGAGGGTGGGTCCAGAGCCCATATTTTTAGCCTCTGTGCTCTCAGATTGTGTCAGCTCTTATGACAGGTACTGTCTTTCGTATCTAGTTGTCCCCTTGCCCTTTGTGTTGGATATGAAGAGAAGATGAAGATATGTTTAAAGTTGGACTCATTTTCTATAATGAAGACCAGCCTAACTGTCACACTAGCCAAACTAGACAAACATGTTAGAGTATTTATATTGCTTAAAATAATGATATTTGCTGGAAAGAAAGAAAGAAAGGAAGGGAGGGAAGGAGGAAGAAAGGAAGGAGAGAAAGAGAAAAGGAAGGAGAAAAGGAAAGAAAGAAAGAAACCCTCAAATTGATAATGGGACAAACATAATAGAGGTTTACCTCTTGCGCTAAAAGTCCAAAATGGAACTCTTGGTCAGGAGACAGCTCTGTTCTAGAAGGTAATTTGTAAGCCCGGAGTCCTTCTGACTTGTGGCTCTACCATCTTCAACAAGTGGCTTTTACAGATGTCATGTTGTGTGCTTCAGCAGACCAAGGGGGAGCTTTGGCTCGAGGGAAGAGGATAGGGTGGCCCGGGACTGGCAGGGGCACACATCCTTCTGTTCATGTCGGTGAGCTGCCCCATGGCCACACCTAACCACACGGAGAGCTAGGGAATCTATTTATCCAGGAGGCAGAGGAGATGGTGAACAGCTGGCAGGTCTCGCCGCAGTACCTAGTGATAACACTTTTCAGATGCCATTGAAGAATGTGTGGTAGTTCTTAATGAGAATGCCATAGAATGTTCTTAAAATTTATGGACATAGAAACATTAGTGTCCTGAAGGGTACTTTTGGGGTATGGAAAAGGCAAATTGGTATTCAGAAGTGTAGTGTCATTTTTATGTCTTTTAAGTACGTGTGTTTTTAACCTGTTCTTCAATTATTTTAATTTGTAGGGCCCTTTAAAAGGACGCAGAGTTGAAGGAATTCAGTATGAAGACATTTCCAAACTTGCTTGAGTTTGAAAATTTGTTAACGGCATATTAAAGTCCTAAAGCATCAAATTGGTGTTCACCATAGCATTATGAGACTCTACTGTGTGAGGGTGTTTCTTTTGTATAAATGAATGGATTTATTTAATTATTACTGTATAAACTTAGAGAAAAATCTAATTATATCTCGTGAAGTATCAAAGCTATGTAAATTTGTCCTTGTTATTTTTGTTTTCTTTGTAATATTTCCTTGATTTTTAATCTTCATTAAAAGAATGTTATTGTAAATTGTTTTATGTAAGATGACTTAGAATAATATAATTAGAGGAAATTCTTCATACACTCTATATTTTCAGTAGTGAAGTGGAGTAATGTTGAACTGTAAATATAAATATACATTTTCAAAAGTCAACCTAAATAGCAGCTTTATTAGGATATAATCCACACACCATATAATACCATCCATTTAATGTGTACAATTTCAGTGGTTTTTAGTATATTCACAGAGTTGTGCAGCCATCACTACTATCTGATTTTAGATAATTTTCATCCCCCAAACAAGAAACCCTGTCCCATGGTCACTCTTTCTCCCTCTCTCTCCAGTCCCTGGCAGCCACTAATCTGCTTTCTGTCTCTAAGGGTTTGCTTGTTCTGGACATTCATACACATGGAATCATACAGTATGTGGTCTTTTATGACTGGCTTCTTTCATGCAGCATAATGTTTTCAAGGTTCATCCATGTGGCGTGTATCAGTGCTTCATTTTTTTTTTTTTTACTTCATTCCTTTTTATTGCTGAACAACAAGAAAATGGAAATTGTATGGATGGACTACATTTTTTTAATCTATTCATCAGTTGATGGACATTTTGGTTGTTTTCACTTTGGGGCTATTATAAATACTGTGAACACTCGTGTGCAAGATTCTGTGTGAACCCATGCTTTCACTTCCTGGGGGTGGAGTTGCTGAGACACACTGTACCTCATATGATACCCTGTTTAACATTTTGTGGAACTGCCAGACTGTTCCAAAGGGGCTGCACCATTTGCAATCCCACCAGCAATGTTGAACTCTACATTTATTTATTTTTAAAGATTTTTACTGGGGAATTGGGGGAGGAAACAGCATTGGGGAATCAGGGAAGGGGAACAGACAAGTTGCTGTCCTTTTGTTCTTTAGTCTAGTTGTGGAGGATGTCGCTTCACTGGCCCATGTTGGTTGGTATTATCATTGCGCTCTTCCCGGCTGAGGACTATCCGTCACCGGCCATTGGACAGCCGCTCATGGTAGCTCACGGCAGCCCCACTGCAGCCTAGCCGTCGCC